CTCCCTCTCCCACTCCCCCTGCTTGTGTTCCCTCTCTCGCTGTGTCTCTCTCTGTCAAATAAATAAATAAAATCTTTAAAAAAAAAAAAAATCTGTATGGGACTTGAAAGCCTCTAAAGCTCCTTCCCCAGTGACAAAAGGAGATAACATTTGAGTGTTTAATACATGCCAGGCAGTGTTCTAAGAGCTTACACGTCCTAATCTTCATCTTCAAAGTAACTGTAAGAGATAAGTTCTAATATCACCCACTTTTTAAAGATAAAGAAACTGCCAGCCAGTGGCAAGCCTAGGGTTCACACTCAGACAGTGTGCCCTTTGGGCCTTGGCATTGAACAATTTATTGCCTATTTCATGCCCTCAATAACCGTGCAGGAAGTGCTCTTGCATCCATCTTAGGGATGAGAAGACTGAGGCTCAAGGAGGGGAATAACTTGCTGGAAGCCACATAACCAACCACTGCCAGAGGCCAGCCTCCATCCCAGACTGTGTACTGTGATCTTTCTAGTCCCCCAGAGCAGCCTCCCATCATTCAAGCCCCAGGATGGCAGTCCTCAGAACCGATGGCCAAGATTGCCCCACCCAGGGTCCCAGGGCCAGCTTTGAGACCCACAAGTCAGACTTTGGGCCATCACCACAAGCTCAAGGTCCCAGCCAGATCCCCCGAGGGCTCCCCAGGATAGCCATAGACACCCAGAGAGGAAAGAGTATCAGGGAAAGTGTCACCCAGGAAGAGTTTCCTTACCAGGCACTGCTGTACCTTCCTAAGGACTGAATTCTTTTTGTGGGAATCTAAAACCAAGGAGTCCAACTGACTCTTCCCCAGGTTGATCAGAAAGGGCACACACTGGGAAGCTGGGACAGAAGCCAGGTAGTGAGCCCTGGAAAGAGACGGGGAGAATGAGAGGAGGAAAACAATGGCAGCTCTGCATTTGCCCCTGAAATCAGCCTCCACATGCCCAAGAGCTTAGCCCAGGGCTGTTCTATAAATGTTTGTTCACCCCAGGGATGTTGTGGCTCCTCTTGGGATGGAGCAAGCCTCCCACCCACCATGCCCCTCTTCTGTGGGCAGGGAAACAGACGTCCTATCCTGCCTCTCTTCTACGCCCAAGTAGCATCAATCAGAGAATGGGGTCTCCGTAAACATATGTTGAGGGGCGCCGGGGTGGCTCAGTCCTTAATCCTCTGCCTTCATTCCCAGTCATGATCCCAGGGTCGTGGGATTGAGCCCCGCATGGGGCTCCCTGCTCGGCAGGGAGCCTGCTTCTCCCTCTCCCACTCCCCCTGCTTGTTGTGTTCCCTCTCTCGCTGTGTCTCTCTCTGTCAAATAAATAAATAAAATCTTAAAAAAAAAACAAAAACTGGGCGCCTGGGTGGCTCAGTTGGTTAAGCGACTGCCTTCGGCTCAGGTCATGATCCTGGAGTCCCGGGATCGAGTCCCACATCAGGCTCCCTGCTCTGCGGGAAGTCTGCTTCTCCCTCTGACCCTCCCCCCCTCATGCTCTCTCTCTCTCTCAAATAAATAAATAAAAAATCTTTAAAAAAAATAAAAAAATAAAAAAAACAAAAACAAAAAACATATGTTGCCTGATGGACTGGTTGAGGGGAGAGGAAGAGAAAGAAAAAGGTAGGGACGCCTGGGTGGCTCAGTTGGTTGAGTGTCTGCCTTCGGCTCAGGTCATGATCCCAGGGTCCTGGGATCGAGCCCCGCATCGGGTTTCCGGCTCAGCGGGAGCCTGCTTCTCCCTCTGCCTCTGCTGCTCCCCCTGCTTGTGCTCTCTGGCTCTCTCAAATAAATAAAATCTTAAAAAAAGAAAGAAAGAAAGAAAGAAAAAGTAGAAGTAAGAGATAAAGAACAGAGAGAATAAAATAGAAAGTGAGAAAGAAAGACAAGGAGAGAGCAGGAAAAAGTAAAAGAAATGACACCCGATTCTGGCATCTCCAGTCCAGAACAACCCCCCCCCCCCCAAACTCTTGGCCATGTATTCTTAACAGAGGCAATATGGCCCCCTAGGGGGAAAAACTGTTTCAGGTAGAGACAGCGGGGAAAAAAAAAAATCTTAGTTATTACAATGATTTGTGACTAACTAAAGCTCAATCCTATTCAACAAAATCTTATTCCTGGTAAATTCTCTCATTCAGGAGAAATTAAATTGTTCCCTTTAGGGAGGCAATAATGAAACAGAGGTTGAGAAAGACTGCTCTAGACCCACATGGCCTACTCATCATGACCACTAGACTGTTCCAAACCCAAATTCTACATGTTCTTCCTCCTCTACACCAGCCCATGTGTCTTTTTCCCTTTATGCCCAAATCTGTCATTGCTACCAGCTTGATATTACTCAGATCTGTTCTTGCCTCTCCATTCACAGGACTGCTATCTTATTTATCTCTTCATTCATTCAGCAAATATCTGCTGCATGCCAGGAACTGTAATGGGCAACAGCTACAACCGTGAACACTAGGTGAGGGGCAGGTCCCTGTTCTCAGGATGCTTCATTCTAGTAAGGTAAAGACAAGAGAAACCAGTGAATAAAACAGGTCATTTCAGCCAGTGATAAATGTAAGGAAGAAAACAAAATGGCTCTGCAATGGAGAATGATGGAGAGGACAGCTGGGGAGACCGTTCTAAGACACAGGTATTTAAGCTGAGATGTGGATGAGTGGAAGGAGAGAGCCATGCCAAGGTCCAGGCTCTAGAAATAAGCTTCCGTGTCTCCCTCCTTCCGGCCAGGTTTCCTGCATTCTGTCCGCTATGTGGAAAGATGTAATGATCTCTCTGAAACATAAATCTGAGGATTTGTGCCCAGAATACAGGTGAAACACCTCATGGTGTCATACAAACCTTCCCTGATTTCACTGTCCCTTACTTCTCTGGCATTCTGTCCCCCAACTACTCTGCAGATACACACCCTTTGCTTCCCTTGCCCACTGCTGGACCAAACATTCCCTGTGCCCCAGCCTGGAGTGTCCATCTTGAACTCTGAAACCCCAGCTCATTCTCTGAGTTTTAGTTTAGTCTCCTCCAGCTCTCCAGTCTGAAAGAGTCACACCCCCCTCTGTGCCCTCTACCCATCACCCTTTCCCATGGTAACAGCACCTGGCTTTCTTGGAGAATCACCCCCTTCACTTGAAGTCCTTGTGGTTTGGGGTGGACCCCACTTCACTCTCAGCTCCAGGGGTACAATACCAAACTAAGCCAGTCAGAGTTATCCATCTGCCACAACCCCAGTCAAACCCACGACTTACTGAGAAGGATGGGGAAAAAAAGTCTTTTAACCAGGAGGATATAGCCTTGAATCGGCCAGAGACCACTACAGAGAAAGAAGATGCCTGACACAGAAGCCTACAGAGGAAAGCTGGGCCAAAAGACAGATAGCTGACCACTCAGCCCCTGGATCCAGTCATGCCTGAAGTCTATTCCTGGAGTTTCCAGTTACCTGAACCAAAACTGACTTTTATTGCTTAAGCCAGCTTGAGTTAAGGCTCTTATCACTTTCAACCAAGTATCAACTTGACATTATAAATGGCTTCATGCTTGTATATTCCCCCTCCCAGAGACTGTAAGCTCTTATAAGGGGAAAAATAAATTATCTTTGAGAACAAGTACATAGTAAGCATTCAGTAAATTTTTTTTTTTTAATAAATGAAGACAATTAACAGCAAGAGAAGGAAAAGGGAAATAAAGAGAAAAAGAGTGTCCAGATTGTGTTTGAAAAAGCAGGGCTCCCCCTCCCAGGCCTGAACGCCCACACATACCCGGAGAAATTCCCACGACTCACATCAGCCCTGATCACCCTGGAGCCTGGGCACAGCTGGGAGGCCAGCCCAGATGGGACCTGCTTCACCGGCACTCACTCGGGCTTGGATCGCTTTGGCTTTGGTTTTGAAATAACAGGGAAAAAAAAAAAAGGCAAGAGACTCTGTCTGAAATATCTATGTGGGGTTCAGAATTTAAATCCTGGTTCACAAGGGCTTAATTCTGGAAGGCACTCTCCACTCTGGCTCCTCACAAAAAGCTGGGGGTGAGATGACTTGGATGACTCCCACCAATCTCATTGTTGGGCCAGAGAGGGGAGCCAATGTTCACTTACGGGAGTGCAGTCAAGAGGAAAGGTGGCATAGAGGATCTGGAGACCTCCCAGTATTTCCACGCCAAACAATTAACCTGAAAGATTAAAGCAATTCTAGGAATTTAGTCCAATAATCATAAGAGCAAACAAAACTGTGCTTTCTCTGGGCCAGGCACTGTTCTAAGTGCTCTATATATGTTTACTTATTATTTAAGAGAACACCCTACGATGTAGGTACCACTACTGTGTCCAGTTTAGGAATGAGGACACTGAGGCGATCACAAGGCGAGCACAAAAATTTAAGTCTGAGAATGCTCACCTTGTTTTGTTTATAACTGCAAGAAAGTGAGATGTTAAACTAATTAAACAAGGAGGCCATTAGACCGAAGTGGCCCTAACGACAGGGAGCCCTATGTAAGCACACCAAAATCAAAGTCTATAAATGCCTCAAGGTCATGAAATCAAAACACCGACGACAACCAATCACCAAGAGTCAACTAGGCTTTAAGCTATAGCCAGTCAAATAATTTCTTTCTCTGCATCTGCACTTTCTCTGTATATGTCTTTTCCCCTGCAGGGCACTCTAAACCACTTCTGGTTCAGCGCTGCCCGATTCCAATCGATTTTTGCTCAGAAAAACTCTCAAAATTTTTAATATGCCTAGGTTTACCTTTTAACAGAGCTATAATGTCACTGTCCCTCGGTCTGGGATTGGTTAGGTAAGTTACGGTATATCCATACAACTGAATGCTACGCAACTATTTTGTTTCAAAAGGTAGATTTATATCTATTAACATGGAATGATGGCCATGACCTATTTATGTATATACGCGTGCACACACACCCCTGTGCTATAAAGTTAAACAGAACAATGTATATAGTATGAACTCATTTGTGTTTTTTAAATTACACATAAATACGTTTTATAGACACAAAAAAACTCACAAAG